TGAGATGACATGATGTGAATTGGAGCTATAGAAATAAACTGAATTAAAGTAGCAACAAGATTGATAGAAGAAATGTCAGATCTCAGGTCATCTTGTGCATATTTACACTTTTTTTTTAAGCACAATGCTAATAAAGTTAGCTAAACCATATTAGCTTACAGGTATTTTTTAACACACACCATAAAAGGGCCGCTAATAATCCTTTTCTTGTAAATAGAATTTTTCTTCCTCTGTGGCATTAAGTGACAAAGGTCAAAGCAAACTTAATATGTTTGAGAGCTCTAAAAAACGGAGGGACTTTGAGAGGCTGAAGCAAAAAGTGATTCCACCACTAATATTAAAAGTCTTTGTTGCCTTAAAGTGTAAGAAAAACAAACATTCAGTGACGTTAAAACAGGTTTGGCACTAACAAAAGACTTAGAATTAGAGACTTAGACAGATTTTATTGTCATTTTGTTTACACAAGGTAAAACAAAAAAAAATAATAATTTGGAACAGCTGTCTGGACAATTTCATCTTTTTTAAAAGTGCAATATTAAAAAATATTAAAACAAAAAAATATATATATATAAGTAAAAACAGTAATCTAAACATATGCATTGTTTAACCCATCAGTTGTTCCTTTAGCAGTCCACCAGGTGGGGGTAATGCATCATTTTCCTTTGCTCAGCATTTTATCTCCATGTTCACAGCAAACATATTCTGCTGTCATTTCTTCTGTTGTTCTGGCAGTGATGACTTCCCATTAGACTCCTGCTTAAAACTGAGTTTCACTTTCAGTTCTCAGATCTAAAGGACTGAAATGTTTTTAATCTATTTACTGTTGATTTATAGAAGAGTATTGTTTATACTTTAAGTGTTTTTTAATCTGTTTTTGTTTTCTTTTCTTGTATTGAATATGAGACATGGAGCCAAATGTAGACAAAGAGGGAGAGTCCTGGAAGAAATCCTTAGAAGACTTAATATCTGAGGCTGAGATGGAGATTCACCTTCCATTAGTTCAATCATGTCTTATAATGGTCTAGATCAGGGGTCTGCAACCTTTCATAACCAAAGAGCCATTTTTTCCGGGGTCAGACCAAGTAAAAGTTGTTTGGAGACACAAGGTATGACATTAAAAAGAAAAAAAAAAAAA